GAGAAAAAAGGCAGGTGCAGCTGGTTTTTGGAGTATTCTCACCAAAGACTGCAGAGGACCACACCCTGGGAGCTGTCTGTCTTGCCTCCTGCCAATCTGCTAGGAGGAGATCCTTTCCTCTGCTACCTGCCTGCAACCTGTGGATATTGGCATTGTACATTGCCATGAGAGGATGCTGTGTAGGAACATTCAGATTGCTTCCCTTGGCTGTTTCTGGGTACCAGGAGCAAAATAACTGCTTTAAATAATCCCCAAATGTGGGCTTAATTAGCTTGCCTTACAAGAAAACATGGCCGGGGGGCAACAGTGTCTGGAGGTTGTGCTGCTGGTGGTGCTTGTTTTACCTTGCCCAGCTCTGCAGCCTGCTGAGGGTTCTCTTATCAGAGGCTCTGCTGCCTGAAAGTCATCACTGGGGGTGGAGGATAAGCAGATAAATGTAATCTTTACAAGAAGGGGGTTAATCAATCACTGAAACAACTTACCACTGCTTGTGAGGGACCCTTCACCTTTTACAATAGCTAAATAAAGATGATGTATGGGTTTTTAAAAATATAAAATAAATATGTATAAGTGAGTTTAGTGATGTTTTCTGCCTTGCTCCAAACAAAAAAACAGACTATGACCAATGATGATTTCTGGCCTCACAAAAATGACTCTATAAATAATTTATAGAGTTCTAATGAATATTAGAAGTATACCATTAATTTTCTCTTGAAATATGTGTAGTCTTATGTCTGGATCCTTCTTTTGATACACAAATAGATTTCATAACAAGTTGATTCCTCACAGCGGGTGACCTTCGTTTATTCTGGCATAAAACAACTAGTATTTTTCCAAGTGTTCCATAATCTTACAAAATTTAGAATGGGAAGCTGAAGGGAAGTCTTGGAGTCCAGAACTGCTAAAGAACTGAGGACCCAGTGTGAAAAAAATGTATCCTTAACATTAGCAGAGTTGAACATGACCAAACATGAATTGCAGAAGGATCAGAATTTATGAAAATTAGCAGACTTTGAGTACGAAGCCAAAATCCACTGAAGAGTCTGGAGTGTCTTCCTGAGGAAGCATTTCACCATGTTTTAGGCCCATTTGTGTCTCTTGCTTCTTTTCCATACACCTGCTCATTGCTCCCAGGTGTGGTGGGCAGTGGAAAGAGCTATTTTGCAAGAGCATAGGCTGTATTTTGCTAGGATGTATCTTCATGTAGGTTACTAGTGATTTCCAGGAGGCAGCTCACCAGAGTAGTTGGATCTGGGTTTTTTGGCCTTTTGGTGTGTGCAGCTGCTGCTTTCCACATGCCTCAGCAAATGTGGGATTGGAACCAGGCTCCACTTTGGAGGGGACTGACACAGGAAGGAAGGCTGCCTGCAGTGCCAGTACACCCTGCAAAAGGAGCAGGAGGGCCAAAGGCATCAAATTTTAGGACTGGATAAAATGCCCAGTCAGGAGCACAATTATTCATGGCCTTGGCTCTGCTGTATTTGTAGTCAAGGAATTTTTATAAACACTTTATTCATGGTTAAGTGTGTTGTCTTGTTAGTGACATCCGTATGTCGTATCCAAAGTAAAGGGACTTTATCAGGAGCTCTGTAAATTAAACTGCTACTTTAGACTTTTTTTTTCCAGTGGCTGTGAATTCCTTGGAGATGCTTTGTTTTATTAACAAGAGGAGTGTGTGCTCTGCCAGAAGCCAAGAAGAAATAGGTTATGATTTCCAGAGGATAGGATTTCAAAAGCCCTTGCAGCTGCTAAGGTAGAGTTTTCTGCTTAGGCCTTGCAAGTGCTGTGCTTGCCAGGTTGGCCCCTGGCCTAGGAATGTCAAACATGAGTTCTCACCCACTCATTTTTTGTGTTGTGGTTTCCTGGGGTGTCCACAGAGGGAACACACCACCCTGTGCTCAGACACTAGTCCCAGTAAAGGTGCAAATATGCAAATTTAGGCCTACTGTGAGCTTTTTGCAAAAACTCTTATAAAGCTCACCAAACTGAACTCTCAAGTGCTAGAAGGATGAATTATTCTACTTAAATGATTTCCAATTACTTCAGGATTTAAGCCAGGCATAGATAAAGCCAGCAATGTAGTGAAGTAAATTCAGATAAATTGAGTTCAGTTATTTTTAATTTGGGCAGCTGAGCCCTTCTCTTCTATCAAATGAAACACAATCCTTTCTTTAGTTGTTTCTGGACATGCCTAGAAGCACTAATATTTTGCAGCTTGATTTTTAGCTTCTTTTCACCTCATATTCCCTCTGCTTTGAAGAACAATGTACCCTTAGCCACGACATTTAAACTTGCAACCCTCTTCTTTGGCCTCACACTAGAAATGTTTTTATTAGATAATATTTTTCAGTGTCATGGTTTACTTGACAAAGTAAAAACTCCTCGTGATAGACTATAATCTCAGCCCTGGTGTGACAGTGTGTGCTCTGTGGCCCTGTGCAGGGTCTGTGGTGGGAATGAAAGGATAGTTGGCCCCAATTTACAGCAGTTCTGAGATTGCAACTGAGATACTAGTTACTCACAGAAGAGAGGATCCTGCCATGGAGGTTTTATCACTGTTCTCAGTACTTACCCAGGATTGAAGAGCTGGCTCTAGAGCAGGTAGGATGGGGAAGAGAGAAAAACTCTACCATGACTCCCTTTGGGAAATCCTCATGTCTTCTGAGATTACTGTTTTAGAGACTGAATTTTGCTGTATCTGTAAGTCAACAGTGAGACAAGAATTAATTTCTTTATCTTTTTTTTATCCTGTGTGTTACAGGAAAAGCCAGCTTTATCTCCTTGATGTGATTGTTTTTAGAACATTTTAGGATTGTTTTAGTGAAGAAGCCTTTGGCATGAGAAGGATGATTTTCCAATGAAATATAAAGTCAGGTCATATATCTAGCTCTTTCCCAGCTGGCTGTCAGTCTGTGCAGCAGCGTGCCAGGCAGTGTTGTCTAGTGCCTTGCTGGTAAAAAAAAAGCAATCAAATCAGCTCACTTTCTGATAGCATTCCCTTAAGGATCAGTGATTTTACACTTCAATATAACAAATAGAACATTCTCAAAATATTTGGCATTAATGGGAATGTACTCCTATTGAAGTAAATCATAAAATTATCTTCATTTTAATAAAAATAATTCTAAAATACCATCTGAGAAAAGCCTTCCAGGAAAATTTTTAACTCTCCAGAAGTTATTTTACCTTGTCAGACTATCTGAGAGACTTTTTTATTTAACTTTAGTTAGACTTCTGGTTGGTGGGAATCTTCCAATAGTCAGTGAGAATGAGCATTTCCAGAGGGCAAATCATTGTAGCCACCAGTGATGCTCTTCTTAAAACAGGATTAATTACTCCATGAAGGCTTGGGTTGCTGTGAATTAACTGGGGTTTTAACACTACTGACTATATGACTATAGATACCTGTAGTTCACTCCAAGTGTTTATCCTTTACCACATATGCTTAGGTGAAAAAGGGTTCAACTTAGTCAGTCTGTCTCTGTCAAAATGTGTGTAGATATAGTTGCAGCTGATACTATAGGTTGATTTAAAACAATTCAGATTAGCCATTCTTTAAAAACCCTTGATCACTGCCATTTTCTAGGCAATGAATGCAAATAACACTGTCATTCCTGTTTACCTTTCCCTTACATATTGCCTTTGCTCTTCAGAGGTTTTTCTCTTCACTGGTTTTGTTTGTTTGCTTTCTCCTCTGTACTCCCAGGAAGCTGTAAGCTCTTACAGGGCAGTGAGGGTTTAAAGCTTAGTGAAATCAGGTCTCAGACATGTTCATCTCAAAGACCTGTTCTGCAATGTTGTGACTCTCCCTAGTGCCAGTAGGAGTCACGCACCTCAGGTCTTGCGTATTGTTTTGAAAATCCTGGAGCAGATTTAGTCTTTTAAGACATATTGTACTTCCTTAATTTCTTGGATAATTTCCATTTCTGAAAAATGTGCTAATTTCTGTGCATATAAACACTTCCTATGGAGAGCTGCAGAAAGAAGCAATTTCCTGTAGTTATTTTGTCAGGGCTATAAGTGAATGAGTCTCATTCAGAAAAAAAAAAAAAAAAGAAGCCAATTGAAAATCAGCAAAACACTTTGAAAAATTGTGTTGATTTTGCAAATAATTCAGGGAAGAAGGGGAAAAAAGTCTTATCAAAATATACCTCAAATCTTCTTGACCATTATATCCTTTCTTATCAGGCATTATTAATTTACCTAGCCAGGGACATGTTTTTTAGTCTTCTTTCTTTTTTATTCATCTGCTCTGCTTGGGAAACCCATTATGCTTTGCTGAAATCTAAGGTTATGTAGAGTTAGCAACATTGTTCTGCAGAGGGTACCTTGAGTGCCAGAGAAGTCATAGAGCTATGGCAAATGATTCCAATGTGTCCTGCTTTCCAGCTGGGCTGGCAGAAAAGCTGTCTTCGTATGTTGTACTGCAAGACAACCATCTTCTGGCTAAAACACAGCTCAGTAGTGCTGTAATCCTGGTGAAATGGCCAATATGACTCAGAAATGCTCAAGCTTTGTCCTGGCATGGCTTCCACAAACAGGAAGCCAACCCCCAAAGAACCACACTGATGTGCACACACCCACTGCTAATTTGGGCACAGTAAATATCCTCCTGACTCATCTGTTTGCTTTCTCTGCCACTCTTTCTGGAGGATGAGAACTGCATGGATGGTGTTGCTAAAAGGCAGTCACATGCTTCAAGCCTGCAGAAAAAGTCACATCCCCTTCTCACTACTATAATTTCTACATCATCCTGACTGAAAAAAGGTACAGTTCTGGAAATATATCCAAGAGGAAGAATCTTTAAATTTATTTTTATTCTTGTAATTAGATACCTGAGAAGAGATAAAAATCTCTCTGTGAGAGTATAAAGTGCTTACCAGTTAATGAAATTGAATCAATATCAGGAATGTTAAGTGATGACATTACATTCTCCATTAATTTGCTTTGCACTCCTTTATTGTGAACCTCTTAAAAGAGCTGGTGATTGAAAAGACATATGTCTTGAAAGCATAAGGATTTATTCTTGAAAAGCATCTATTGTTAACGGTCCCATGTGAAAACCATCTAAATGTATTGTTGGTAGCATTGGGGTCTCATTTATCTTTTCTTTTTGCAATTCCAAGGTTTAGTTACATTAGTTTCTATTTGTACTAGCCAATTTCATTCATGCTGGAAAATTGTTCCCTCTCTAAAAAGCTCTTTTAGGGTGAAGAGGGCTATAGGAAAAGTAAGAGAGCTCTGTATTCTGGAGAGACATTTATCTCAGTTCTAAGGCTGGCACAAAGCTTACAAATCTCTTAAATCCTCCCTTCAAGCCTTCCCAGCAGGGTCCTGACTCTGAATGCTTCCAGGTGTGGGTTCCTTATGGAGGGCTGTGCTTCACTGCATAAGGCATGTCTAGAAGATGTGCCTAGAAGAAAAGCCAGAAAAAATAATGTACAAAAGTAGCACAGGGGCAAATAAGGAATGTTTATTTGCTTGTGGTTTTTAATCTCATCCCCAAAATCTTCTGGAAGTAAGGTAGGGAATCTCCAAACAGGAGGCAGCCAAAATCTCTGTAAAGAAGGTGGCTTAACATATGCTGTGATGGTGGCCATGGTGAGCTGATGCCCAAGAGAAATATCTTATAAAGATGAGAAAGGCACACAATTTGCAGGTAAAAGGCAGCATCTTAAACACAAAGCATTATTCTCTTTTATATCCAGCATATGCCTGCATATTGGGCCCAGCCCTCAGCTGGTACCCAAGGGATGGACTCTCTCTTCCACTTTGCTAAGTGAGCACTGAGCTCAGCAATAGAGCCCAATAGTCCAGAGTGGCTTCCTGGTACATCCTTTGGTGCACTGCACGTTTCAGAGAGCAAAGCTTTGTCCGGGCTTTGGGCTAGGCATTTCTGGAATGTCTCTAATGGCTTGTCTCCTGTTTTATATTTTATTTCTCTTCAGAGCTTTGTGCTAGACTAGACAGAATCCAGAAAAGGTTTTGCTTTTTTAACACCCCTCTTGGGATGACTAGAGAGGCCAGCAGCCTGCAGTCAGTTTTCCCTAACATTTATTGAAACCTTTCAGGTTCAACAGCTTCACATGTGCCAGTACCGAAAAATAAGTGCCAAACTAATTTATTACAGGTGGATGAATGAGGTTCCTGAGTGTTTGCACATGTGCCCCATTTATTTCAACTGCCACTGTAACATATTAGCTGGAGCCATAGGTCTGTGCCCCATGAAACAAACTGAGGCAGAATAAATCAGTGCAAAGCACTGATGCTCCTGAGGTAGATTTTTTTTCAGCTAGCTGGAGATCAAGTAGTGCTAAAGCAGACTTCATGTAGCAGGGCAGTACAAGCCTGTCCAAGGCCCTGAATATCTAAATATTCAGAGATTGTTTCAAGGATTTTACTATGTGAAGGCTTACAGGTCCTGGGAAGAGGCAGGCTTTCCACCTGTACTCCTGAAGTACCAATGCAATGCTATACCTATCATAATTTTTCTTCCCCAGAATGAGGGGTGGGACAACACAAAATTTTCTCATTTCAGTGGTGTTTTGGAGTGGTTTAGTCATGCATTATTAATGGTAGCAAATTAACAAAAATGGTTGAACACACTGAGTTTCATCAAGGTTTAATGACAAGTGTCATGGACTAATCACCATCTTGTTTCCATAAATTGTTAAGAATTATGTTTCCAGTATTACCTATTCAGGCACACCACCCAAACTCACAAAGCTGTGTGCATTCTCCCTGCCCACCCAAGGTGGCTCCCCCCACCCACAGCATCTTCTCACTTCTTTTCATGTCCCAAGACTGGTTTTCTTCCACACCCTTTTACTTTACTAGCACTTTGGTCCTAGGCCCTGCTGTGAGTGCCTGTGGAGGATGCAGGCAGCAGTGGGAAATAGGGGCTTGCTGCTTTGGGAAGTGTTGCCTGCTGCTCTGAGAGGTGTGCTTGTGCTGGGCTGATTAACACCAAGCAGCTCCATGGTGTTCAGTCTAGCACAGAGGGAGAATAAAAAAGAGGCTCTCCCCAAAACCCAGTTTGACTCAGGAGATGAGGAAGTGCATGCAAGGGGATTTGCAGAGCCTGTGGTCAATATGGGTCTTCAGCCAGTACAGCATCAGCCAGATGTGTGAAGCTGGCATTCCATACCTTTATAATAATATAGGCCTGAAGTGCTCACATTAGCCTTCCTTCCTTCTTCCATGAATGATGTCACGAGCAAGGAGATTTTTATTTAGCTTTTCAAAAGAGGAAGATCCTGAATATGGGAAAGGTTTTGGGGTGTGAGGGGTCTTTTCCCCCTGTAGAAAATTCCAAGATGATTTTCTGTGCTGGAAAATCACAAGTTGACTCTCTTGACTGAAGAATGGCAATGGGAAAACAAGGTGAAGATACGTAGCACTGGGCTGCCAAGAAACTTTCTGGCTTGCCGATTCTGTAAGTGTCCCATTAGAAACTAGCTCTGAAACAAGCTGTGCATCTTTTTATAATCTTGTCGTATAGGGCAATTTAAACATTGATTGATTATCTATTCTTCTATCCATGATGTTGGAATGAATTAATGTGCTATTTTGTGTAGTAGATAAAACTAAAGAAATTGTCTTACTCTTTTATTTTTGAATGGGGATTTCTTAGAAGTTGCTCCAGTTCTTATAACTCCTGGAATTTGGTGTGTTACTCTTGACTGAAATGAGCAATATTAAGGCATAACCCACCTCATAATGGATGTTGTCTTATCTAGCTTCACCTAAATGAGAGTGAAACACACATTGAACTACCTTGCTGTATTTATTATTTAGGCATGCAACATCCACTCTGTTACAGTAGTAACAGCCTGAGAATACCAGGTCAGCCTGGAAATTTCCAGCTGCTTAATATATTGCTTATGGAAGCAATTTGTGTAATTCATTAAGTATCTTTAAATGTAACACAAGAAATTTTCTGCATTTTAGCTTTTGTCCTAAGAATTTTGACTGTATTTAGGGCTCTGACTCTTGCAGAGGCATTTTCAGCTGATGGGAAACAGAGTAGGAAATGGGTGAAAAGACAAATTCTCTTTGTCATAGTACAGCACAGTGTGATTTCTTGGTAAAAGATAACACCATTTTTTCTAACAGCTCAGTAGTAGCAATTTACCTTATACCCTGGAGTATCTGATTTTGACCTCTTACATGTCTTTTGTACCACTGTAGTTTTAAGATCCTTAAGAGCATTTTGATTTAGGCACAAATGCAGCAATGTGATACAATCAGGATGAAGCACCTATTTAAAGATAATTATGTACTTAAATATGCTTCTGAAGATGACTTTCCTACTGATTTATGCAAGGGGAAAATTGAGCCCAAAAATACATATGAAATAAGGCAGGTATCTATTTCTTTTGAGATACCATATCCTATCTCCACCTCTTTTTTCCTACTAAAAAAACTTACCTTCTTTTTTTATTTTTAAAGACTTGATAATGGTGTTTTCTGCAGCTATGCTGATGTTCCCAAATTAATGCCAGTAAGTCAAATCTCCATATGCTTTCTATCTTTTCTTAGCGTCTCACTAGGCCTACAGTATCTATTAAAGCAGTTTTGCTGCTAAAACTTCAATTTAGCTTTTTTTTGTTGTTGTTCTATCTTTTGGAAAGATTGATGTAGACAGAGACTATTAAGTCTTAAATCTTTCTTTAAATCCTTCAACCTCATAATTAATGATGATGGGACACTCGCTGTTGTCCCAGAGCCTGTGCAGAATGTACCAAGCCTGACAGAACTCAGGGAACTCTGCTCACCTGTTGGAGCCAGAGGCACAGAAAGTACTCCCTTATCTGTGCTGACAGGCTCTGACTCTCAAGAGAACACTGAGTTTAACTTAAAACCATGGAGAAAACTTCAAGAACTAAGTAGAGAAGCTGAGAATGTGTGTGTGAATGTTAGATACGATTGTATTAAGTCACTGGGTGAGAAAGTTAGAATTTAGAGTTTTAGCTGTATTAGTGAATAAGAGACAACATGGAGGACTTAGGGCATTGTCCTTTTCTCCTTCTTCTCCTTCTTCTTTTAGGGTTTTTGGGTAATACTGTGATTGGATGAAAGAATCCAATTGCGGGACACAAGTGTCTAGTTATTGGGTTATTAATGAAAATAAGTTACTCGGCATTTCATTGCTGGATGGGTTGACACTTAAAAGACCTTGAAGAGATACTTCTCCAGCCATTTTGCACCTTTGTTACCCTAGTGTATATAGCTCCTTGTACTCTGTAAATATGTAATATAGATAAAGAAGAATAAACATCCTAAGCCCGAACACAAAACCAGTTCTCTCTCTTGTCAATCTGTCCTGGGGAAAAGAACTGAACCTCCAGTATCACCCTGATACTCACCCCTTTAGGAGTGCAGCCTTGTTCTCTGCTTCAAAGCTGTGGAGTAACAAGGGAAGGCCAAAGCTTCCAGGCTTGCAAACTGTAATATTGGAGCACTTTGCCTGTTTTCTACTGGTCCAAAGTTTTCCAAAGCCAGGGCCTGACCAGTGTGGGCAGACTGCTAATTCCCCAAGTGGGGCATGTGTTAAAGCATGGCTAATTGGTACCATCTACAGTTAGATGGTGCTTCCAGCCTGTTCCTGACTAAGACTCTTGTTCCTGGGATCCCAGCCCTGCTGCCACCGTTGCTGTTGGAGGGAAGAGGCCCTCTTGCTGGCACTTGCAGTAGAGCACCTGAACAAAGCCCAGGGAACAATTTTTCTCTTCATTTCCAGGCACGGTGCTTTGCTGAGGATTTATCTGACCTTGTGGTTACTCCAAGCTAGGAAATAATACTTTGGTGTTCTTTTATAAGGTGGGAAGCCTTTCCATGTGGCAGGTTAACTTTCAGTCTCTCACAATCTACAACTATGGAGAAAACAAAGATAACCTGTGCCCAAGAAGAAGTTGAGTGATTAGATTGCTGCAGTCAGGACAATTCATCTATCCCTTACTTCAAAGATTATTAAAAACACACTGCTTTTCCTGATGAATGCTGATAGTCAATAACAAATATTAACTCAAAATCCATAATAGGCACTCTGGCACGCTACTTGATACATCATGCCAAGTGTGGTTATAATTCTACCCTGATGCTTTGCTGCCATGGCCTTGAGTTACTCATTAATATTTGTGCAAAGAAAAACATGGACATGCCTAAAAATGAGCATACCAGAGCATGTGTTGTTAGCCAAATTATGGGCACCAGTGGCACATGCTTCACTGCAGCCTGAGTGGGCATAGGTAACTCAGTTTGGCTTTGCCCAGGCCAGCACTTTACCTTCCCAGGGCTGACACATCCCTGTGAGCGGGGCAGAGAGGCACATGATATCCTGGGCAGCTTGTGCAGGGTATAGAGGAGAGAGGATTATCCTCTTTAGTACAGTTACACCTGGGGACAGGAGTG